CTATTGCCTGCATTTTCAAGTAAATAAGAGAAGCAAACAATACATTTCACACGTGATAGTAAGAGGGAAACTATAACAGTGTAACAGGATAAATCCTTTCAGAAGAACTTAGAAAAATAACAAAAAAAAAAAAAGAGCTAGACCCAAAGAACAAGCAAATAGAAAAGATGAAAAGTATGGAAAGAGTTTAGGTGGGGCAAAATGTTGCCTCTTATATCTACTTTTCAAGGATACAATTTAATGTTTATTTATATACTGATGCACTGATAACATCTTTATAAATTTAACTCATACAGAGAAATCTGGAGGTTTGTAGATACTTGTGTAGGCTTTTGATCAAATTTCACTCGTGTGTAAATAAGGAGGAGATAAAATTGAATTTTGTCCCAGGCTTTTTGGTCCCTTGCTACTTCTCATACTTAAACATTAAATCTGACAAGGTCAAGCACCCTTTGTAGCATCAGAAATCTCACTTGGCATAGGACAGTAAAAGTAGCCTAGGAAAGACCAATAAGGTAAGAGAAGACCAAGACTAAGCAACCTTTTCATTATTCCTCTCCCAACACATAATATATATATCCATCTAAGATAACTATAGATGTCTGCAGCTGAACCAGACAGCAGGGAAAAAAATACATTTCTAGAGATCATCTTACCTATTTTATACTTTAGGAAAACTTCTTTGAACAGGTTTTCAACAACTTTAAAGGGAACCCATCTCTGTTCTAAAAGTCCTTTTGGTTGTTTCCTAAACGAAAATGTCTAATATTTATCTGACCACCAATTGCCTCCCCTGAAGGGTGCATCCTTCTTGTAAGTCCTGTTCATCAGCACTGTAACCATGTAACCATGTCTCAGATAGCTCAGTACATCTCTAACAATGCTAGACACTGTATTTTGGTGACCAAATCAAGTACAACTTGTTTACTAACATTTACTCAGATGAATTGAAGCAAACACCTCCATAAAGTGAATCTACACTTATTTCCCCCCATGTTATGCCACCTCTTAGCTTTTATACCGTCAGCAGAATACAGCTAGTTAGCTCTGAGGCTCAAAGTGTCTGGGATGAGTTTTAACCAGTGAATTGTTTTCTGAGTGCACTTTAGATGACTTAGACCACAATGTGTTGCATCTGTAAGAGAAACTTGAAGCTTAAATAGTGAAACTGCAAACTTTTACTAAAATGAATTAAAAGCACTGTATATAATATTTACCTAGAAAAATCCGATCTTTAGCATAATTTTCTCAAAAGTTAAATATTTCATCTGAGATAAAACAACAACACTGGTATTTTTAATGTTAAAGCCTAGAAAAAACATGTGAATAACAGATGATTGTCCTGGAATATTGTACTAACTGTCTTCTGCAATCCAGATCTTGCCAGTACAATTAAAGATGTATGTATGAAGAATTTGGACAGTTTAGGAGATACTGAACTTCTTGGCAGCCAGCTGAGTAATTATTTTGTACAATAAGGAACACCTGAAGTCAACATACTGGAAAAATAATTAAGGTTAGACTGAATTAGCAAAGTAAAGAATTATGATCTACGAAAAAAAAAAAATATATTGTTTATTATTATTTTGAAAATAAAGATGTGTAATTTAATAACAAAATTAGACTGTATTATAGAAATGGGGGTTGGACCAGACCACCTCCAGAGAACCCTTCCAACTTCAACCATTCTCTGATTCAGTGCCAACCTTCTATGTGAACTAAGTTGAAAAGATCATTTCCTCACAGGAAAACCTTCCAGGTTTATATAGTCACACAATGCATAACAACATCATGTTCTTAATTTGTACTTGATGAAGATAATTGGTGAAGAGACTAAGCAGAGGTCTCCACACCCTCTTTTGACTGCAAAAGAGACTGACGTTTCTGCTGGAATGTAAGTGGGATGTCTGTTTTGTGAACATATCCATGGTGGGGTTCAAAACAGAAATCTTCAGGCTGCAAATTCATATAATTCACACCAGAAATTCACATTTCTTCCTGTTCCTTCTGCCACACAGCAGTACATATCTCAGCTTGATTTCATCATTTTTCAACATTATTCTTATATTTTTTTGTCAGCAACAGAGAGTCTGTTTTCCTCCATGTTAATAAAGGCTCCATAAATAAGCTCTAGTGATCTGTATTCCACAATCCCCAAGAAAAACTAGTTACTCAGTAGTATGGCAAAGCTTGTCTAATATTTACTGATGTCAGTGTCACAGTAAGAGTGCTTGTACACATGGGAGAAAAAAAAAAAAATAAAGAGGTTAAAAAAGGAAAAGAAAAAAAAAGGATACTTGATTTATTTTCTTGCATTAACTACACTGAAAATCTACAACACTAAAGCCAAACAAGAAGCTAACAATTTTAAATATCTCATTCTGCCTGAACTGTGGGATAGATTAATGAGTTTATAGAAAGTCATGGACTTTATATTTATTTTCCATAAGTGGGGCATTTATAAATGGACATCTAGTTCAAAAGATTTCAATGTAGTAATGTTAATGGTCATTGGTTTTCATATAGATTTTCATTGTCTCAAGCGTTCTTACTGGAAATGTTACGTATATGATATAGACATGGTTTTACTGAAGGTAAGGATTTAAGACCTTGAAACTATGAAGAATTACCACCAGTTCAGCAAGAACATGAACGTGCATTGACTGTTCTGTGATAATTGCTGATATAAGATATAAATGGATACCTATACATATTCCAGCATACAGCAAAGTACTCGCTTTCTTCACTGTGGAGTAAGATACCTTGTTTTTATTATGCAGCCAAACTATGCATGCGAACACTCAACTGAAATAGCCAATATAAAGTGGACTCACACCTTCATTTAGCTCTTTGTTCCTGTTCATGAAGTACAGTACAGTACAACGCAATTTTCTCATGGAGGTGACCAGACTCAATTACATGATTGTGCCCATGTGTTTACCTGCAGTGTGTTAGCCTGTGGTTGTAGGTAAGTACCACATATTTATGTTTATGAATGAGTATACATTTTATATTTCTACATATTTTAGAGTTCCTTTATTTAAGATTATGGTACTGACATTTCCATTTCAATCTCCTGGGTTTAAGAACTTATAAATTACTCATGGAAATTTTTGCCAGACTGAAACTTAGTTTTGTCGTCAGCCTCAGAAAGACGTTTTTTAACAAATTCATAAAGAGAAATGCAGTGAATTCACTCATCTTTATAACAACCTGAAAGTATAGAATAGATATTTCATTGTGTTTAGATTGTTATGGATGTTATTCTCATGGAATTTGTTTCTTTTTTAAGAACTTTAATTTTAGGACAACAATCTTAAGTGCTTACCAATGATTTGCATTATTCCATTATATTTGGCTAATGGGAGTTCTGCCAGTTGGGAAAGTTTGAAGATGCAGTCCTACTAAAAATAAAATATGAGCTTGAAGACACAAAATTTAGTCTAAAGAATTAAGTCAGAGATAAAAAGCCCAGAGCTTAAGTATTATTCCTTATATCATCTGCTGTGATGCTATAGATAAGTCAGAAAGGCCTCCAGAAGATACTTGAACACCTTGAGTGAGATCTGTGAGTGACCATGCATCTCTGTCTTTGCGACTCTACCTAGGTTTCTTTATGGTCTTTTTGCATACTTCCACGCAGGTTGGTCTCAAACAAGTATTGTGTCCTCCTACTTAAACACAGAGTGTATCATGCAGTAGTTTCTGATGTAATTTGGTCTAGTGCACTATTACATTATAAAATTAAAACAGGCAGACTTATAAGTGCCACCAGATCTGAAATGGTTGTATCCCTGTTCTGAGCTGCTGGAACACAAAGCATCTCTGGCCCAAGCACCAAACCTCGTAACATGCAACCTCCTCAGAGGTAAAGCACTTCAAGCAGGGTAGATGACACGTGGGCTCAAGTCCTCTGGTTCAAAACTAGTCACATTCAGTCTGTGTAGAGTGTGACCAAAGCAAGCCCACTTAATGAGTCTGTTCTTAAGGCTGCCAGAGGTACTGCTGCCTAATGAACTAGAAGAGCATCAGGACACTAGCAGTGGAAGGACTCTACCACAGGGAGCCATACAATATTTTTGCTTTGCATGGTGCTTTTATTTTTAATTATGTGGTAAAAGCAATGGGAAGCTAGAGACATGAAAAACAATGGCTTCAGAATAAAAGTATTAAATGTACTAAAACAAGCAAGCAGAAAAACAATAGCAGAGAGTGAGGCAAGGCAGTAAACCAAAGGACTGGAGAACAGAGACAGAAGATTAGGATCTTATTACACAGTATACCTTACTATATACTAACAGAGCACTGAAAAAGAAAAAAATAAATTAAACTCACTACTACGGTCAGAGAGAGAGCTTTCTTGTCTCTCTGCCTCCCTCTCCCAGTCATATACATTCAGTTCTGATTTTACATGACCACAATATGGTTTCATGCTAGTAGAAGACTTGTATTCAATGGTCTACTGAGGTCCATAAAGAAATGGTGTGTGTTTAATACATCAGAAGGAAGCTTTCTAAGAGATCACATAGTTTATGCCTCATCTTACCAAAGCGTACAAGACCAGAGTTGTTAAGATTGTTGTGCCTGTGAATACAAGTATCCCAGAAAAGAAATCCTGACTTTACTGTGGTCAGAATTACATCATTCTTGTCCATCTCAATGGGTCTAGACTTCCCCCGGAATTTGTGTATGGACCTAAAAGTGATGCAGATCTCCACATAATTTTATGTGCAGAAAAGACTTAGCTGCACAACCATGTTACCAGGCATTCTCAGTATATAACTTAACTCTGCAGCTCCTAAGATTGTTGTTTAAGAAATACTTGTATTTTAAGAGTTAATTGTTCATATTAGATGTCAGAACTGTTGTTCACAGTGGCAGGTGCTGTTGACATGTCTAAAGAACACAAAAAGCTAAACACAGAAAAGTCTTCATGCATCTTCTGTGCATGTGTATGCCTAAGGATGGAAGAGAAGGTAAATGCAGAACCTTTACCATACCTGAGGGTAGCTGTCAGTCCTTGGAAGAACAGATATATCATAGGTGGCTGCAAAATGGCTCTTAGCTTGCTGAATCTGGCCATAGCGTTCTCTTTTCCTCCATTTTGCTCTTCGATTCTGGAACCAAACCTATAGTGTATGAGGAAACAATCATCAAGGTAAACTCAATTACATACTGTGCAGAGTTTTAGGAAAAAGCCAAGAGATTTTGGACAGTAGCTTTGAAAATTTCTGTTTATCTTAGAAAGGGAATTTCTCTGCCTGAGGATGAATTTCTTGCAGTTTCAGTCTTCTCAGCGTCAAACCCACTTGTTATTTCTGGCTGTTTTAAAAGTATGCATTGTGTCCTTTCTAAAAAAAAAAAAAAAAAAAAAAAAAAAAAAAAAAAAGACAGAGGAAACATCAGTCTGCTAAGCAGTGCTAATCTTGACACATTTCTATTCTGTAGAAGAAAATCACCAAGTAGCAGCAAATTAAATTGTAAAGAAACTTTCTCTTAATTTCACATGCCCACATGATCTGCCTCCTAGAAGTATACATAACTTTTATCAAGTGTAGTAATGAAAAGAGTAATCAGGAAGGCTAACAGGGCAAGAAGATGACAAAAAAATCATGAGAACACAGAGTGTTTTAAAATATTACGACATTTTTTTTCACATTTGTGTTAGGTGATATCTGTTCTGATAACGGAAAACTAAAGAATGATGCTTTATATTTAGTCTATGAAAAAATTTAGACCTGAAAAAATGCCTTCTTGCCAACTAAAAGCTACTTTCTTTATACTTAAATAACCTTTGGGCTGTTCTGTAGTATTCTGAGGGTCAGCTCTTTTCTCAAAACATATTATATGCACATTTCTTGCTGTGACTGATATCTGTCATTGTCCTGTAGTCTTAATTTTTTTTTTCTTTCAGTTTAGGTTGGACAGGCTGAGATTTATCCAGATGAATTAAAGGGATTGTTAAGAAAAGTAACTGTTCCTTTACAGAAGTAGTACTATCCAACCAAGTCTTTATTGTTCAGCTATGAGCAAACTCATTCTGACTCTTTTTAAAGAAGTCACACTACTAACAGAACCATTACTTTTTAATGGAAACAATGTCATTGATTAGTCTTCCTGCTAAATGGATCATGAATCCATTTGGATAGATACATACATTAATAGATATTTTATTTTTTTTTTTGTATAGACACTGCCTGTGAATCCCATTTTGAGGGATGTTTTCTGATCTCTGATGGTGGGATATTTAAAATAACACTGCTTGTTTTATAATTAAGTTTTTGCCTTGAACTCAACTGTCTTTTGATGCTGCTTAAGCAAGCAGGGCATAATTTTACTCTTTTTAATTCGCAAGGATTTGTTGCAAATTTTATATGTGTAATCTTTTAAAAGGTACTCAGCAATCAAAGCAAGGCCTGTGCATGTAACTGCTGAGTATATATTGTTTAGAGAAAAAAAAAAATTGTCCTGTCTCCACAGGCGGCATCAAGAACACGCTAAGGGAATTTAGTATGAAGCTCTTTCACTGAAAAAAAGACCTTGACAATCTCCTTAAAATGGGTGCCAATTACTTCACTGAAGTGCAGCAGGAAAGAGAACAACTTAGATAAATTAGGTTCAGGTTGGCTCTCTCTGCATGTATGCAGGACAAATATTAAATTGGATGTTGATGAAATGGCGGTGAAGGGAAATGGGTAAGGTATCCAGCTGATCACTCTGCTAAACTAAATCAAACAATTTGCTTTAATTTATAGTAACTAAATGAGAAAAAAGTACACATTTTTTTCCTTTGACAATCCCCCAAAATGTTTCTGTTTACATCACTTTACTAGAAACTGACTCTTGGCAGAGATAAAGTAACCATTTGCCTCCACAAAGCAATGTAAAAATCTGCTGCTTGTTATCCTTGAATTGCCAGATGCTTGCCTCTAATGATGTAAGGCCTTTTAAATTGCTTAATCTTGTGATGGAATACTCTTGCTACTCTGGATAAAAATGATCACCATTTCCTTTCATATTTAACATATGCGAAATGCAAAAAGATCAGTTATCTTTTAAGAAAGGGGAGAACGTGTCTAAATAAAATAACAATGCATATTCTGTGAGTCTGGTGCAGACATATATATTTTTATATTTTCTCTCTTATTTTTAATACTTTTACCATATGAAGCTTCTAGAAACAGAAAATAATGTGATAAAAATTCAGTTGACATATTTTAGCCCATATGTTCCCTCCTTGTTCTGACTATTAATTTATTCTTGGAATAGTTATCATTGTTCCAGAATTATGCAATTGTAAGAACAGTGTTTTAACATTATGCCGTCTTCTTTTTAAGTCAAGGCTAAATCCTAATGAATGGAAGTCATATTTGGAAAACTGTACCAAATTCAGATGGAGAGGGATTGCACAGAGACTGAAGAGTTAAAAGCCACTGAACTAAATTCCATCAGCATCACTGCTATCATGTCGATGTAACTGACACACGATTTTGGACTCTGTTTTTGAATGACAGCAGTGAATACGCTGTCTGGTTGAATAGACATGAGGAGAACACTTCTTTATAAAATTAATTAGCAGAGTTCATTTCTGAAAGTGATCCTCGTTTAATTTCAGTCATATGCATGTGCACTGACGTCTATTTCTTTATATGCATGTGCGAGTATGTGTTTAATTACAAGTTGTGAAGTTGTTATCATATTCAAGTCACTAAATTAAAAAAAATTAATCCCAGTCTGCAAGAATCAACAGGATTGATATTCCCTAAATTGAAATTATGAGTATCACCAGAGTGGAGAATACCTCTAAAAATAGGATAAACTCGCAAAATGCAGCTCACACTCTTTTCTAAGGGAATATCTCTAAGTGGGGGAAGGGCTGCATTTCCTGGATATTTAGCTTCTTTTCTCACCATTACACATCTAAAGCCATAAATACTGTTGAGATTACTATATGGGTATATACTGAATGAATCAGTTACACAAGTTTAAAACCCAACAAATGTACTTCCTAATTTTGTGATATTTAAACTCATTCCATACAACAAATATCAAAGGATTGCATGCTTGCTTTACACAGACACAAACACACACACACACACAGAGATATATTTATACACATTTATGTATAAGCAGTTTCACTTCATATTCTTTGGATGGAAACAAGGAATTTCCTTACTTTTTAGATTGTACTTTTCATGCTGTAACTCACAAAATCCTCTGCATCCAAGCTCTGCATTGTCATCACTCTGAACTACATGCAAAACATCTTTTTAATGGGATCTTTACATATAACACTTTTTGTATTTGCTGCCTGGAATTCTGACAGTAAAACAGGATTACCAGAGATCAAGACTACTTTACTATTGATGTTGTTTTCTCATCCTTTAAACAGGTTTCTAGAATAACAACACAAGCTATTTAAAAAAATAACGTTACCTTAGTACTGCAGCATAACAGCTCATATCCATAAAGAAATAAAGCAAAATCAGCTATTTACTTTAGCTTTATGGACTTTTGTACAATCCCCAAGAGAGTCGTTTACCAGTTCCTACAATGCACGACTTATCATGGAAATGCAGAAGTTTGGTTCCTACCTGGACTCTGGCCTCAGTGAGCTCTGTTCTCAGAGCTAGCTGTTCCCTTACATAGACATCAGGGTAGTGAGTTTTCTGAAATACTTTCTCCAGTTCCTCCAGCTGCAAACTGGTGAAAGTTGTTCTGTGCCTCCTCTTCTTACTGCTGGAGACATTACTGTCACACTTATCACCGAGTTCATCCAGTTCCCCCTTCTCCTGCATCCCTTTCACTGGAGACATCCTGAGATTGTTGCAATTGTCCATGGGCCTGCTCAGCTCTGCGTGAAGAGGCTGTCCTTCCACTTTAGTAATCCCATAGTTCACTGTACACAAGCTGTC